GCCGCGCCGGTCCGGGCTACCCACTACTCGCTCTGGTTCCCGCTCTCAGGTCCTCCGCTCATTAGGGGTGTGGCCCGGCCTGGGGAGCTGAACAGGTGGCCAAGTCTGGTGACAAGGCCATTGGGCTGTTGCTATGGGGATGGGGGATGGAGGCCTTTTGCCTTCAGCCCCAGTTTTCTGCCTGGCAGCTCTAATGACCGGCCGCCAGCCCTGCGGAGGCCCTGCTCCTGGTTGCCATGGCAGGCTGCCTTCCTCCCCCCCAGATGGAGGCCCCCCCGCAGGAGAATTCACCGCACATCTGGTCTCCGCACACCTGGTCGCAGCAGGAAGTGTTGGGTGGCAGCTGAGCTCCGGGAAGCAGGTTAGGGTGTGAGAGAAACAGTCACCTTCAGCCTAATTGCTCAAAGGCTGTCCCCAGCGCCGAGGGGACGGCAGCTTTTCTGCTGAGTCTGTTGGAGCCGAGCCGCACACAGCTCACACAGCCTGAGAGCTGAGCAGCCCGAGCCCAGCGATGGCCCTGCCCCGGCCACCCCCGTCTGACCAGGCCTCTGTGGGGAAGGGTCCCAGGTGTAGCCCTGAAGACGAGGCTCGTGGGCTTGCTGGGAACGATGAAAAGGAGGAAGCTCTGACTGAAGCTCCAGCCAGAACCCAGCCGAAGGGGGACCGTAGTTGCCCAGGCGCCCAGGGCCAGCCAGCTCCTGGTTGGGAGAAGCCTCGGGACAGTCCTGCTCCGGAAACCTGTTGGGAAAGGCGGAGGGGTCCCAGCCCCCAGGAGCGGGCTGCGGTGCCGATGCCGGATGACGGTGCCGGGATGGAGACCGCCAAGAAGGAAAAGGTAGCTGTGCCTCCTCTGGCTCTGGAAGCCTCTGCCCCAGGTCCCCACACCCAGGGGTGGGTTGAGCTCGGACACGCGCCTGCCGCCCAGAAGCTGACTGATGCTCAGGCTCCGTAGGGAAGCCCTGCTGGGAGGGAGTCCTGGGCACCCACTGTGTTGGGCAGAAAGACCCTCCTCCCAGCAGACCAGGCCCCTCCCTGCTCCAGACTCCAGCCCGGGGCCTGGAAGGTAGGCGGCCAGAGGTCCGGGAAGCGACTGATGTTGGTTTGGGGTCTGGGGAGTTTAGAGCCTGGGGTCTTAGTGGAAGACCAGCAGCCCTGTCCTGAGACAGTGCTCAGCAGACGCGATGACAGGCCTCAGGAGCCCACACGCCCTCGTCCTCGAAGGAGTCTCTTCATGGGGAGCCCGAGGGCTGTTCCCTCCTGGGGAGGAGCAGAGATCAGTTACTTTTTCCAAAACAGAGAGAAATCCAGACCAAGTAGTGAGCAAGGAGAAGGGAGGCCCCAGGGCGAGGGGCCGGCTGGGGTGCAGTGGGGCCCCGGAGGGGCCTGGTCCTTCCCTGCGACATGATTCTCACCTCGCGCCTCCTCCTCCTCTGAAACAACAACGTCAGCACAAACGGCGCTGCTTCTGCTGCTGGCAGAGCTGACGGTGTCAGGAGAAAACCGCCAGCCCAGGCAGGCGCCCCGGCCAGGAAGCCAGGCGGGCAGAGGATTTGGAGACAGCCCAGCGGCCACCTGAGGAGGAACGGGGTGGGGGGTGTCTTTGTGACAATCAGAGAGATGGCGCGGCAAGAGTGTGAGGGGCTGTGGCTGCCGTGGGGAACCCATTCCTAGACTCAGGCTGGCCCCTGTCCCTTCCTGTGTGTCCAGGGGACGCGGGGCTCCACCGGGCAGACCGTCTCTGCTCCCGAGGGAGGGGTGCAGGTCCCAGCCAGGAGCCAGGCTGCCTGCAGCGGCCGAGGGTCACCGACACCCTGGTCCCGGCTGAGCAGAGTGAGGCACGTGCTTCAGTGAGGCAACAAAAGCATCCATCATCAAGATAAATACTATTTTAATGCAAAAAGTTGTGCTTTGAAGGGAACCTAAGTGCTGCTGGTTTCTCGTCCGCTTCTGTGGTCCTCACCTGTACTGACCTCCAGGCCTTACCTGTGGTCATCCTTCTATAACCTACAGAGCTGTGTGGCCACAGGGCTTGACCACATAGATGTCAGCTCCGAACAGTTTCTAGAACCCCTTGGGGGCAGGTCTGCGCCCACTGATGCTGTCCTAAAACTGGGCCCTGGGGGCCCCTTGCGATCCTGGTCTGTACTCCCCCACTCCTCACTGGACCCTCCTGCTGGTCCAACCCTCCCCACAAGTGCCTGGAGCCTGGGAGACACAGGGGCTTCAAAGCATGTCCAGTTGGACGTGTGTTAGTTGGCTCCGGCACCATAACAAATTCTGTGGACCCAGCAGCATAAACAACAGCTCTGGAGACTAGAGTCCGAGGTCAGGGCCAGAGTGGCCAGTCCTGGTGTGGCCTCTTCTGGGCTTGCAGATGCCAACTCCCAACTGTGTCCTCATGGGGGTGGGGGGCGGTGCAGTGAGGGGAACGAGGGGTGCCAGCTCTCCGTCTTCTCATAAGGACACTAATCTCCGCTCGGGGCCCCACCCTCATGACCTCTTCTAACCCTGATCCCCTCCCAAAGCCCCACCTGAAAATACCATCACATTGGGGTTAAGGCCTCGGTGTGGATTTGGGCACACAATTCGGTCTGTAGCCTGCAAGGAGCTGACGGCCCTCCGTTCTGGCCCTCAGGCTGCCCGGCACTTTGCCCCCAGGAAGAAGGAGGCTCGGCAATGGGTGAGGCCCTGTGCTTGCCCTGCTTCCCGCCTCTGCAGGGAAGGCCAGCAGGTGTGCTGGGACGGGCCAGCTCGGAGGGAGTGTGAGAAAACCCTGAGTGTGGGGGACAGGCTCCCCGTGGGCAGGAGCAGGTCAGCCAGCTCTGCACAAGCCCATCTACCCACCCCCTCCCTGCGGAGCTGGCCCCCCTGCAGAGGCCGCAGCCTCTGACCATCCACCCAGCGGTGGTGACAGACCTGGGTGGGCCCAGCTGCCCCACCCCCTGCCCCTGGGAGGAAAGGGGTGGGAGAAGATAAAGAAGCCCTTTGAGCACTCCCCAGAGAGCAGAACTGACCCAGCCCAGGGGAGAGAAGGCTCCCGCCTCCACATCTAGCACCTGCACCCACGCTGGGCGGCTCTTCCGTTCCCAGTAGCCTTTGGAAACAAAGTCCCTCCAGACCTCAGTGTCCCCTCTGAAAAGGGGTGAGACCCCCCAGCGTGCCTGGCGGCGGCGGGGGACAGGGGTGTGCACGGGCTCCTGCTGCAGAAGGCTGCCCGGTGGACGGAAGTGCTGGAAAGCCCTGCAGCAGAGATTGGGGGACGGATTTCACGCCACCGTGACACACTCCTTTCCAGAACACAGAGAACCCCCCTTGGCTGGCCCCTCCCTGCCCATGACGTTGACCCACAGACAGGCTCGGGGAAACCGCGTCACACGCATCAGGTGTGCCCTGCGGCCCCGCCCACGGGCTCCTGGATTTGGCCAGAGCAGAGCCTGGAGCAGCGCCGTCCCAGCTGGTGGACCCCAGGCCCCTTTCTGGGCACACAGGTCAGGCACGCCTGGGGAGCACCCCTTCTCCCCGTCCCTGCAGCCCCCCAGGCTCACCAGCAGGCGTGGTGTCCCCTGAACAAACTATGAGAAACGTGAATGCATAAAGTGGTAAAGAAAAAGGCCATGAGAATCAGTGACCGCTGGCTGTTAGAATAGCCCAGCCCTGGCCGGGGGCTCCATTGGGAACGTTTCCTGGTACAGCAAAAGGTTTCGGGACCCATTCCGGTCAGGGCACACACCTAGGCTGGGGTTCCATCCCCAGCTGGGGCACGTACAGGAGGCAACTGATGGATGTTCCTCTCTCTCTCTCTCTCTCTCTCTCTCTCATCAATAACCATGGCCGTGGGTGAGGATTAGAGAGACAGCCCCCAGAAGCCCACTGATGGGCAGGCAGAGATTTCAGTTGGTTACAAAGCAGTGGTGGGTGTTCCCTAAACACACACACACAATGTCGTACTCAACTTCTGGCCAATGTATCGCCCGTTAAATACTTAGAAACTATAACAGAGAGAACGACTGTTGGGGGCAGAGCTCTAGTTTTCCAGTAACCAAGCCCATGCTCCTGCCCACAGGGAAGGAAGCTCATGGTACACTCAGCAGGTGCCCAGCCACGTGAAGTGCTGGCCCCGCCCCTCCTGTGCCCCAGCCCCCTCTGTGCCTGGAACCACCCCCACCCCCACCCCGGCTCCCTGCCAAGGCCAGGCCAGGCCCACAGCAGAGTGAAGGGCGCTCATGAGCCACCACTAGAGCCTCAGGACGGAAAGGTATTGGCAGGGAGACTCCTCCCTGGGGTCCCTCGAGGCCCCAGCCCCCACCGCCCGGGACTTGCGTTGTAAATGCTTCTTATCCCCTCCACACCCATCCTGTCTCCGAACTCCTGGGCACAGGGGGGTCCGAGTGCCAACAGCCTGTGGCTGGGGGCTCAGGAAACTCGACCTCTGCTGCCACACTCTGGCTGCCCCAGGCCAGTGCCCTTAGCTGCCCTCTGCCAGCCTCTTGGTCTTGGCTGTCGGTGGTGCCCGACCTGGTGTCCCTGCCGTGTCTTCCTCTCCAGCTCTCAGTGGGCACAGGCTGGGGGTGGGGCCAGAGAAAGGAAACGGTCTCAGACTGGTCACACTTCATCTGTGATTATCTGTGCCTTTTGCTTGTTGCTGTCTTTCATCCTTGGTCGGCCCACGTGTTTGCTCTTTTATTGGTGTTTTTAAAGAACTGGGTGTGGGATTTGTTCATTGAGTTAACTGTTGTTTCACTTGTGTTTTCTGTGTGATTTGTTTCTGCTTTTATCATTCTTGACTAGTGGCCCGGTGCACGAAATTCATGCACATTAAAGGGGGATTAATTAGAGGAAATATTTTAATATTGGTATTTGCCCTTTCTCTATAATAGAAGTGTCAGGGATGAAAGAAAATTAGTAAAATGTGTATGAAAATCTTCCTCCTGTCAGAGTCTGGGGCGCACCACACCACGGGACCCAGAGTCAAGTCCCCACCCACCCACGTGCGCCCAGACCCAGCCAGCCCCCCAACATTGGGCTAGATCCAGACCCGGCCGGTCCCACCCTTGTCAAGCCCCGATAGGCGGGGGGTGCGGCCTCAGGTCCCCCGTCAAGCCCTGTTGGGCGGAGGGTGTAGCCTGAGGTCCCCCGCCTGGTGCCAAGGGAGGGGGGGCGCAGCCTCAGGTCCCTGCTGATTGCTCGTTAAGGCTCATTACAGGAACTCGGCCTCCGCTGTGGGAGCAGCCATCTTGTGTTATAGAAACCGCCCTCCCTCCGCTGAGGGTGCAGCCATCTTTATGGCAGAGTGACGGTCAATTTGCATATCCCCTCTATTGTATAGCATTCTTTTATCCTAGTCTTTGTGGGTGCACTCTATCTCTGTTGTGTTGGGTTTGGCCTCTTGGGAGCCTGCTTTGCTCACCGACGCCCATTTATTTTGCTGCACCCCTTTGAGGGGGTGCATGCTCCCGGGAGCCCTGCTCTGGCTGGGAGCCACACTTCGTGTATTTGGTGTCGTCATGGTTACTCATCTGGAAGGGTCTGCACTCCAACCCAGATGCTCTCTTCAGCCCAAACACTGCTGACCACAGCCCCTCTGCCTGCATCCAGTTCCGGCCACTCTGAACCCCTGCACTTCTGCCAATGCTCTGGCACTGTCCTGCGGTCCCTCTGGGAACGTCCCTCTTCCCGGGCCACCCCTCAGCACCAGGACAGCAGGAAGGATCTTGAGGACCCTGTCCTCGGCCTCTGGGACCCCACTGGTCTCTTCTGAGCTCCCCAAGGATGCAAGCGTCCATTGTCCATCTGTACAGCTGTCTGCTCTCTCCTCCAGGATTGTAAGCTCCTTGGAGACTAAAACCCAGTCACTTTCGTACCCTCAGATGGAGCACAACTCAGGGACCCAGACATTAAGTCAATGAGTGACCCCCACCCCGAACTAGCCTACCACCCTCTCCATTTAGTCACTGTCGGCACCTTTCCAGGGTTAATTGGGATGCGCTTAAAGGCTGCACCAATTCAGGGGCATGGGAGGTGGGTCTTCAGAGCGCAACTACTTCCTCCTCACCTGGTGGCCCAGCAGGTGTGCGTGAGCCGGGAGAAAATGGAGCCTTGAGCCAGGGCAGGCTTCAGGTCAGAGGGTCCTGTGGGCAGGGCCTCCCAGTACCTGGGTCACATGGTGTAGAGCCCGTGAGTGGCTTATAGTTGGTCCCTGGGAACGGTTCTGTCCTGGGGCAGGTGCATGGCTTCTTGAGCCTTTCCTGGTCTAGGAGGCGGGCAGAGGCCCGGGCCTCCCACATGCTGGGCCACAGGCAGGTATGAGTTTGTATGGAGCACCCAGCTCAGGGTCTGGGGTATTGTCCCTGTGAGAGCATGAAAGACAGAGGAGCCCTGGCCGGTGCTCCGTGGTTAGAGTGTCGGCATGTGGACTGAAGGGTCGAGGGTTCGATTCCCGTCAAGGGCATGTACCTCCCCAGCGCCGGCTGGGGTGCCTGCGGGAGGCAACCAATTACTGTGTCTCTCTTACACCAATGTTTGTCTGTCTCCCTCCCTTCCATTCTCTCTAAAAATCAACGGAAAAAATATCCTCGGGTGAGGATCAACAACCACAACAAAAAGACAGACAGAGGAGGCAGAGTGGTAGGCATGGGCCGAGCACACTGGCCTCCCGAGTGCCCGGAGCTGCAGGCTGCGCCCGCTCAGCAAACACTGGTGCTCGTATCTGCGTGTTTGCTCGTGTGCTTTGTCCGCCCGCCCTCTGTGACCGTCCCTGGGTCTCCATGTGAAGTCCGGTCCTGATAGGCGGCACGGCTCCTGCGTTAGGACACGCATCCACCAGGAGTGCCCAGGCCGCAGGAAACCGGAACCCTCCCATAGCCACACCTGGGGGTGGGTGCCGTTCCTCTCCCCCATCTGTGGTGGCTGGCAGCTTTCCCTTCCACCGCGGCTCCTCGTGGTTGTGGGGCAGCTGCATCCACAGCCTCAGGGGGCACTGACCTTCCTGCTCCTGCTAAACCAGGCTTCCTTCACCCGCCATTGGCCACTGGCTGAGCCCAATCCCAGGCTGGTCCCTGGGCCTGGCGGGGGCCTGCCTGCCTTCCATCTGCTCCCTGCCCGGGCTGGATTCCCGGCGCCTACGTGGAGGAGACCCACAGCTTTTATCAAGTATCTTTCCTTTCCTTTGGGTCCAAACAGCCGTGAATCCAAGCGGCCTCCTCTCTGGAAGGTGCCCTATTGTGCAAGGTGGGCGGGAGCCAACCACGCACACGCGGAGCAGAGCAAGGTCCCGTCACTGGGGGCACGTGGGCACGGGCAGCTGGTCCAGGAGGTTCAGGAGGAGACCCCTCCAGGCCGTCGCACTCGCAGGGAAGGTGGCACTGGCTGCACAGGCCTCGCCCCTGTCGGTGCACAGGGACCCCCGTGGCCACGCTTTGGACAGCAGTGCTTTCCGCTGCCCTGACTGTCCCTCTGGCCAGTGTGCACGCAGTCCTTCATGCCCTTAGGGTCAGCCCTGGAGCGGGAGTGACTGCGTCCCTCACCCAGTCATGCCGCTGCCCCTCGCCCCTCAGACAGGCTGTCCTGGCCTCCCCCGCCCTCCTGCTGAGCGCCTTCTCTCTGCCTCACCTCCCGCATCTGCCCTCCGCCCTCACCCTGGACCCCGGCCCATCCGTGAGGCTCTAATTGCTCAGCTGTTTCTAACTGTGGTGATTTGAGTCATCACCCCGGACCAGGGCCAGAGAGCAAAGGAGACCCTCGTGTGAGTGGGGAGTGCCCAGTACCCAGCCCCCCCCTCCCCTGTGCAGGCAGAGCAGATCCTGGCGGAGTTCCGACTGCAGGAGGAGGACCTGAAGAAGGTGATGAGGCGGATGCAGAAGGAGATGGACCGTGGCCTGAGGCTGGAGACTCACCAGGAGGCCAGCGTGAAGATGCTGCCCACCTACGTACGCTCCACCCCCGAAGGCTCAGGTACTGCAGGGCAAGGGTGGGGCCGCCCTGCGGGGCAGCTGTCCCCAGGCCCCTCCAAGGGCTCTGGCCCCAGCAGCCTGGAATCAGGCCCCGGAGGCTGGGCCCCAGACAGGCCGCCCTCACCTGGGCTTGCAGGCTCACCGCGGCCTCAGCACCTGGCTCTTCCCATCTCATTGGGGAAGTACCCCCTGTGGTCACTTGCCCCCCTCCCCGCCCCAGTCCTGAGTCTGGGCCATTTCACTAGTTTTTCAGTTGAGCTCTAACTGGGGGTGACTTCAGTTCAAAGCTGGGGGTTCCCATGGACTTCCCAGTTCACCTTTGACCCCCTCCCCCCTGTTGAAAGTGGTGTCCCCAGACGTCTGGCATTGCAGCCCCTTGTCCAGTGCCCGTGGGCCTCCTGCCTTCCCTCCTCCTCTCCCTGTGGCTGCAGAAGTTGGGGACTTCCTCTCGCTGGACCTGGGCGGCACCAACTTCCGGGTGATGCTGGTGAAGGTGGGGGAGGGGGAGGCCGGCCACTGGAGCGTGAAGACCAAGCACCAGATGTACTGCATCCCCGAGGACGCCATGACGGGCACCGCGGAGATGGTGAGCGGGGCCTCAGGCTCTCGTCCTGGAGGGGCACCTCCCCACCTGGGTGAGGGCCCACCTGTCCACCTGCGGGGGCCAGTCCGCCACAGCTGCCGGGGGGTGGCCAGGACACCTGGAGGAAACAGAAGTCATAGTCTTCTATGACAGTCGCCCGGTCACGGGTGCAGAGCACAGCTGGGGGGGGGGGGCCAGCCCCGTCTGAGCCCCCCTGTCCTGGGGCTGCCGTCGGCAGGGCTCTGGGGGAGGCTCAGGGCCCAGTCAGAGGAGGGACTGCGCACAGTGGAGCTGGCTTCCCTGGGGGCTGGGGGCGGGGACGGGCTGTGCCGCCCACCGCTGTGGCCGCCTTCCAGCTCTTCGACTACATCTCCGAGTGCATCTCCGACTTCCTGGACAAGCACCAGATGAAGCACAAGAAGCTGCCCTTGGGCTTCACCTTCTCCTTTCCCGTGAGGCACGAGGACATCGACAAGGTGGGGCCCAGGGCTGGGCAAGGGGACAACGGACAGGCACCCGGGAGAAAGGCACCGTGCAGCCTTCAGACACAGCTCCCTTGTTGGGAACCTGCCTGTCACCCGCATCCATGACACTGCGGGAACGAACGTTGGCTGGTTTCACTGTTCGCCTTGATCTCCCCGTAACATCACCCTGTTCACACCCCCACTACCGAGTAGGGAACCGAGGTCCGTGACCGGCCCGGTGGGAAGTGGCAGCGCTGGGCTCCCCGGCAGCCGGTGTCATCACTGGTGACCCCTGTGCTGGGGCTGAGGTGTGCGGGCGGAGGCTGAACCCTGCCTTTAGGCTTGGCACTGACACACACGCCAATTACACACGCAGACACAAGCACGTCAGCTGTGTGCACACCTTACCTTTACATGTATTTGCACGCATCAAGCACACACACATCTGTGACCTGAAACCTCACACACAACAGCAGCAGGAGCGACTTCATGCGCAGGTTTTCCAGCCCCCGGGGTGCACTGAGCGCAGTGGCTCCTTCGTCTGCAGTGGGTGCACCACAGGAGGGACCCTGCTCACACACGGGCCGCTCCACTCCACACCCACACCCTCGCTCTGGGGCGACGTCTCTGGGCTTTACTGACAAACATCCTCAAATTGCTGGGACCCCGCTCTGCAGAACCATGAACAGTTGTGTAGTCGTCAAACCCCTCAAAACCACGGGAGCCTCAGTCTGCTCACCCGCTAAGGGGGGTCTGGGGCCCAAGGGAGCTCCCCGCTTCACACCTGCCCCGGCCGCCTCAGCGGCCACCGAGGTCCTCCTCCTCCCACAGGGCATCCTGCTCAACTGGACCAAGGGCTTCAAGGCCTCGGGAGCAGAAGGGAACAACATCGTCGGGCTCCTGCGAGATGCCATCAAGCGGAGAGGGGTGAGGAGGCACCTGTTCCCTGGCCCCCCGCCCTCCCCCCTCAGGCGAGGATGTCCGCGAGGGCCTCTGGGTCCCCTCGGGCAGAGTCTCCGCCCCCTCCTTGGTGGGCCCACCCAGGACAGGTAAAATGGAGACCCCCAGCCCCAGCCCCACCCCTCTGCGCTCTTGGCAGGACTTTGAGATGGACGTGGTGGCGATGGTGAACGACACTGTGGCCACCATGATCTCCTGCTACTACGAAGACCGCCAGTGTGAGGTTGGCATGATTGTGGGTAAGGACTCGTGCCCTGCCCTGTCCAGGGGCCTCGGCCTCGGGCCCTGAGGAGTGAGGGCCACAGTCAGCGCGGGGCCTGAGCACCCCGGGGCAGGCTTGGGGAGGGCAGGGGCGCCCCCATGCAAGCTCTGTCCTGATGGGAAGCAGTCACACTGCATCACTGCATCAGATGGCACGCCTGCCGCACCTGCACCTGGCCCATCAGATTTAATTAAAACACTTTATCTGGTAAATTGACCAAATGAGACAGATTTGTCCAAGTGGAAGAGAATAAGCAAAGTGGTGTCATCTCTTCCTGGAAGGTCTGACCGTACCCAGGGCCAGCCTGCCCGGCCTGAAGAAGAGGCAGTGCCTGGAAAGGAGGCTGTGCTGGCCCCAGGGGGCTCCCTGCAAATCCACAGCCAGTCCCACCTGCCCTAGCTGGTCCCACACTGTGTCTTACCTCAGGGTGGCCCCCCCCCAACAGAGCTCAAGACAGAGAGGCTTAACTGTATGAATGGAAAGAGCCAGGAAACAAGGGTGGAGCATAGACAAAACCGTAACATCCAGCACCCACCTCTATTGTGCACATTTGACACGTTTCTCTCAGTCCTCCCAACCAGCCAGATAAGGGGAGGGGGTGTTCCCCTTTCCTGGTGGGAAGAGGGACAGCCCAGAGGGGTGGGTCCATCCACCTGCGGCCATACAGCAGACAGGTGCTGTGTGCCTGGGAGTGGTGGGGGCAGGGAAGACTGCCCTGGGCTTCCTGCGGCCTGGTGGGGGGGGCGGGGGCATTCCAGGAGAGGGGGTGGGGGTGAGGGTGGGGTGGGGTGGTGGGGTGAGGGTGGGGGGGGTGGGACGTGTAGAAAAGGGGCTTGGGAAGCGCAGCCCCTTCCGGGTCCCGTGGGTCCGACGCTGCCGCCCCCCCCCCCCCCAGGCACGGGCTGCAACGCCTGCTACATGGAGGAGATGCACAACGTGGAGCTGGTGGAGGGGGAAGAGGGCCGCATGTGCGTCAACACCGAGTGGGGCGCCTTCGGGGACGCGGGCGAGCTGGACGAGTTCCTGCTGGAGTACGACCGCGCGGTGGACGAGAGCTCGCTGAACCCGGGCCAGCAGCTGTGAGACCGCCCGCGGGCGCGGAGGGGCCACGCAGATCACGGGCTGGTTTCTAAGCGGGTCTGGGAGGAGCAGACTGACAGCTCCCCCAGCGCACACGCGGTCGGGCCGCTCCGTGAACGGGCCCGTGAGCGTGTAGACCCGAGAAAGGGGGGCTGTGGGTAGATACGCCGGGGCCCCTCTCCGTCCCGACGGGCGTAGGGAGGTCTGAGATGCCCCGCCACGTTAGCGGCTTCACGATGCAGCGTTTTGCGGCGTTTGCTGCCGGCGCGCAGGGCACGGCTGGCCCTGAATCTTGGTACCGTAGGAGCCCGCTGCGGCCAGGCCCTGCCGGTTCCCGCGTTGGCGTGGTCTCTGGCCGCAGACACCGCTGCGGCTGATAGGGCGCCCCCGGAGGAAACACGGAGGCTCACGGTGGGGACGCAGGTGCCAGCGCCGCGCATGCCCTGGGCGCGCCCCAGAGCGGTCCCAGCGCCGGGGCCCTCATTTCCCAACTATGCCCGGGCGGTGCGAATAGCACCCCGTCGCCCGTGGGAGGCCGCTTGGACCCAGCGCAGGTCCGCTCCAGGCCGCTCTCGGAGGGGCTGGACCCGGGTCCCCGTCAGCCGAGCGCACGAGCAGGAGCCCGGGTTTGGCAGAAGGTGTCGCGGCGGCGCGTGGCCGCGAGGGGGCGCTGGTGCCCGGCCCCCGCCCACCGCCCGCCCTCCGCCCTCCGCCAGGTACGAGAAGCTGATCGGCGGCAAGTACATGGGCGAGCTGGTGCGGCTCGTGCTGCTGCCGCTGGTGTACGAGGACCTGCTCTACCGCGCGGAGGGCTCGGAACAGCTGAGCCCGCCCGGCGCCTTCGAGACACGCTTCGTGTCTCATGTGGAGACGTGCGCGCGGAGACGTTTGGCACTTGACTTTTCTCTGATGGGATGAATTTACTTAACGTGATACTCTCTAGGTGCTTCGATGCAATCAAACAAGGGAACTAGTTTAGGCCTTTCTCTGGACTTTTTCAATTCCGTTGAGTTAACGTACAAAGCTGATATTATCTAATCATCTACCGATGGACATCTTGAGCTGATCCTACATGATTGGCTATCCCCTAGAATACAGAACGTAATAAGCAAAGTATATTGTCTAGACAGTGAACATGGAAGGCTGCCCTC